TTCACACCTGCGTACCCGCCGTATACCCTAATGCGCCCATACACACGATAGCCATCAACTCCCTTAATCTTCCGTTTTATTAATTAATAAGCCTAATCACTAATTTAACTAATTAACCACTAAGGCTATTAATCTGTTTTTTAATCAACAAATCATTTACCCTTAATTAATCAAGCCATAAATTATTCTAATCGATCTCTGTTAGCTAATAACTTTTCATTTAGTTTTTTTGAATTAATTAATCAACCTATTAAAAAATAATAATCTATATTAACTTTTCATTGACTTATTTAACATAATTGTAATTTAATTAACTTATAATAACCAACTCTTATTAAGCAAGTAATCCCTTTTATAGTTTAAATTTATTTTGAGTTAAATAATTCACATTATAATAACAACCTTTTATAATTTAACTAATCCATCAAATAACATTCTAAAATCCTCTTATAATTTACTTAACTTAGAATTTAATCCACCTTTAATAGAAAACATTTTATTAAAACTAAGATAATTAATCTAATCCCCCTAAAAATCAAGTCATCTAAAATCTTTTTTAAAACTAGTTCAAACCAATTTAACTTTTTCCTAAAATCAAACCTTCTCATAAAATCAATCAACTAAAACCAATCAACTTCGCCTAAAATCAACTCACATCGTAAAACGTAATCCAATCATGCACGCTTGCGTCTCCACTCTGGTTCCGTCCGCACACTTCACATATTTACACACTTGTACACTTCAGCGCTTTCATGCGTGTGTATGTCTTTATTTATTTTCTTTATCCGCATTTATCATTCCCGCAATTTATTTATCGCATTGCACACGTCCAAAGGAAAAACCTACACATGATTCAACACTTGTGTGTAGTGCACATCATTTGCATCATACTCCCCTTGATCCTTGATCCCATTCAAGTCGATCTTCTAAGTTAGATCCTACCCCATAGGAAGGACCTTTACTTTACAACATAGAAACAAACAATCAACTCAACAACAAATATTTAAACACAATAGAGAAATAGATGTTAATCATCTTAAGCGAGATAGAATCTCCACCCCACAACAATACAATCAATTCGTAGGGACTTTGCCTTAAGAGAGATAGAGGCGTACTCGTTGATCAATATCCAAGTACTTGAGCCCTTCTCTTAAGACGATGCAAAGACTATTTTCCTACAATTTGTGGCGGTTAAATCTATCTTAAAATGACAACCCGTCTTTTCTCCTAAACTCAATCAACCAACTACCCTAAACCCGTAGGAACTTTGACCACAGTCAAAGAATTCCTCAAACCCTTTAGGAGAACTACTGATACTCTAATTCCACTCCCGTAAGAATATGTAGGCATATGATGCGATATCTTATCGAGTATACTTAGATATAAACCCCCTAAGTCTTTCAACCATTAAGCAGATAACACATAACAATAAACAAACATAAAACAAGAGGTTCCTGTAGAGTACTACAGAAACTTAGGATGCTAGCATCTTCCCTAAGTTTAACCAACCCCCGAACCTAAAACTCTCTAGCTTGCATTTGCATTGCATTGTGGGAATTTCGATCTTTATCCCTTCCTTTAGACAAATCAAAGACCGGTTGCAAAATGAATTAAAGATTCAAACTAATCAATAGTTTGGTATCCAAATTTCACCGCGACATACGGATAATAATGGTCATTATAACTTGACTTTAGCATCCTCTAGTGCCTTGAAAAGAGGCAGCGGAAAAGGGGGGGGGGACTCCCCTTACGACAAGTAATGGTCATTACGGCCTGACCGTAATGGGCTCTAGTTTTTGTACCAAAGAACATTCTCCTCGATAGTCTTTGCACATTTGTGCCTTTTTTGTTACAATTTTGTCATAGGTGGTCGTTTTCACCTAAAACATTGAGAAAACACGCAAACGGGAGTAAAAGTGAACAAAAATAAAGATTAAATAGCTGAAATTCAAACATAAAATACACATTAAAATAGTCTAAAAGTCATTAATCAACGCATTTTAGATTGAGCACAAAAATGAGTAAAAATAATACTTTGATTCGACTCAATAACAAAATGAATGATTCAAGTCGAATAAGGAAATCATTTGAATCTATAACTTAAAAGTCGATTATGGAAATTTAATTCGAGTCAAAGGATTTTATGATTCAAATCACTTTGATAGAACTAAAAACAGAATTTAAATTCAATTAATGATTCGAATCAACCTTTAATGTGATTCAAATCAAGCTCACATTTTATCTAGCTCATACCGTTGGGGATAATATAGGTTAAAAAGGTGTAGAAAGGCACTTGAATAGACTTTACCCTTGAAATCTATTTCAAAAATGGTTTTTGAAGAGGGGTGTTGCACCCGGAAGTGGCCAAACTAGAAAAAGATGAATAAGATCACTTAATCTATTCCATAGCTAATAAACCAATCTAATATTACAAGTAACAAAAAAATAATCATAAAAAAATATGAATAAGATGACTTAATCTATTACATACCTACACTTACACAAAAATCGCTATAAGTAGATAAATCTAACAATGTTCGATTATAAGAAAGCGATAAAAAAACTAATAATGAAATTTATACAGAAAATTAAATAAAGAGATTGTGAAGAGTGCACTAGATAATACATGTTTATAATAACGATAAATAAAAGATATAGTAAAACCTAAAATTGCAACAACAAAAAAATGATTAAATAAACTTGCAACAATGAGTCTTTAATAGTACAAGTACAATAATGAAGGAAATAAATGTAGGAAAATGATAACAATGTAAAAATTTAATTCCTTATAGTGTGGTGTATTTTTCTCAAGTTTCCTAAGGTATTTATAGACCTTATTACATAAATTTTGACCCTAATTTTGTATAATTAGTATTCATTGGTCTTATACAGTTGGTGAACAACTAGAGTATGAAGAGGTGTGAGAAAACAACTTTGAAAAAAGGGATCAAATAATGAATTATGGTGTACTATGGACAATAATGGTCATTACAATTTGACCGTAGCATCCTCTGGTGCCTTGAAAAAGGGCAGCAGAAGGGGGGGAAGGGGGACTTCCCTTACGACAAGTAATGATCGTAACGGCATGAGGTAATGAACTGTAGTTTTTGAATAAAAAATCATTCTCTTCAATAGTCTTTGCACATTTTATCCTTTTTTGTTCCAATTTTGTCACAGGTGGTCGTTTTCACCTGAAACATTGAGAAAACACGCAAACGGGAGTAAGAGTGCACAAAAATAAAGATTAAATAGTTGAAATTCAAACATAAAACACATATTAAAGCAATTTAAACGACATTAATCAATGTGCTTGAGATTGAGTACATAAAACGAGTAAAAATAATATTTTAATTCAATTCAATAGAAAAATGAATGATTCAAGTCTAATAAAGAAATGATTTGAATCAATAACTTAAAACTCGGATTATGGATATTTAATTAGAGTCAAAGGATTTTATGATTCAAATCACTTTGATAGAACTATAAACCCGAATTTAAATTTAATTAATGATTCAAATCAACCTTTAGTGTGATTCAAATAAAACTCACATTTGATTCGAATCAAGGAAATTTATGATTCAAATCACGATGGCATAACCAAAACATGATTTACCATTCATATATTAATTTGAAACATGTATAACCTTGATTAGAATCACACATCAAAAAAGTTGATATTGAGAAAGTTGAAGTGTTCTTGATTTATTCTAGAGTTAGTATGATAGGAAACATCCATTCATGCAACAAAACTCTCAAAATCCAATTTGATTACCATTCCTTAGCTTGCAACAAATAGACTTGTTAAACCAATTTTGATACTTCAAAATTCCCAAACACACAACTTTCACATCCCTCTACCACAAGAAATCTCTATTGTCTTTCACTGAGCTTGCAACATTGAGGATCTTGTCTTTAATATTGCCATATACCTGAAAGATAATAAATCAAACCAAAAAAACTCAAGTTCAATCAATACTCGCCAATTCCACTTGTTTAGTAAAGCCCGATTAAATCTTTGACACATTTTCACCTCATGTTGAAAATATTTGGAAAATAAAATACTCCATGCATTTTAAAATGATTGTTGTTTAAGATTTTTGCACACAGACTAAGGAATGTAATGATATTGTCATAAGATATTGCACTCTTATTAAATTAGTTTTATTAATATGTTAGAAATAATGTACAGAGTAATAATTATATGACACAATTGAAAAAACAACAATTATTACTATATTGAGAAGTGAGAACGACAGTCATTTTAAAACAATTTTTTTTTCCTAAAACGATAGTCATTTTGAAATGGATGGAGTATTACCTATGCATTAAAGTGTGTCCTCTAAAGCATTGTAAAACATAAAATTAAATTTTAAACAAATATATTTAATTAATTATTTTATTTTTGAAATTCGTTTCTTCTTGTTTGTGTTTATTGTGATTTTTTTTGTTACATTATTTAGAATAATGTCAACTAAAAAGTTTATATTAAAATTGAAACTAAAAGAAAAGAGTTGAAATTTTTTATTTGAATTATAAAAAGAGAGCATTAGATAAATTTATAAAAACAAATAAGAAATCAGGTTCTTACTAAGACTTTGAGAGAAAACTAATTATTCTACCATTTACTATTTCATACGTATGTTATGCCAACCCTTCTCCCTAAAGTTGTAAAGGAAATGAGCTTCAGAATCACTTAATAAAAGAAACATAATGAAACTAATACGAAACAAAACATCAACGGGGATGTAGCTCATATGGTAGAGCGCTCGCTTCGCATGCGAGAGGCACGGGGTTCGATTCCCCGCATCTCCAATCTTTTATACGTTTTCATAAAATAATTAATTTAATTATTATTATAATAAATAAACTTTATCCATTTGAACTCTATAGCCACCACAAATGATATTCTTCTTCATCCCTCACAAAATCCATACACAATTTGATATTAATTCATATTCTAATTTCTAACTAACTTTTTTGCATTTCATTTCGTTGCAGCTATGATTCTAAATCTATCTACTTCTTCATTCTCTCCTTCACTTCCTCACCCTTCTTTCAAACCCTCCGAAACTTGTTCCAACCGCCACAACCCTCTTCTCATTTTCACCACTTCCTCGCCTCACAAACCTTCCAAATTTCTCAATCTCAAAGCCTCCGTTAGCCGCAATGAAACCTCAAACTCCAATCTATTGGATCAACAGCTTCTTCACCGAATCGCCGCCAACGCCAAAGACGCCGACGAAGCATTGCGGTTAATCGCCGATTACTCTTCCGAAAACTCCGGCGTCGTTTCTGTCTCTGATTGTTGCTCTATTATCTCCGCCTCGCTTGAACGGAATAATCACCAACTCGCTTTGTCCGTTTTCTACTCCATGCGCTCCACTTTTCATCAAGGTTATTCATATTTTCTATTTTTCCAATTTTGTTGCTGTATGTTTTTGTTAGAGATATTAGCATTAGTTTCAAATTAGTTGCGAGTTAGTTACAAATTGGTTAAACTAGAAGAGAGTTAGTTATTAGTTTGATATTGATGATGATGTGTGTGTTTGTTGTGTACACTGTGATCAGTTGATGAGAATGATCCTTTAGTGGAGAGATGGAAGTGGTCGAGGCCGAATGCACGTGTTTATACAATGTTGATTCAGGGTTTGGCTGCATCTTTGAGGGTTTCAGATGCTCTTAGTGTGGTTAAGTATATTTGTGAGGTCGGCGTGTCTCCTTCTGAAGAGGTATGGTTAAAAGATGTGTTATTTTGTGTCAAGGATGTTACAGAAATTGGACTTGTTTTGATTTTTGAGAATTTTGTAGGTTCCGTTTGGGAAGATAGTGAGGTGTCCTAGTTGTCGGATAGCTGTTGCAGTTGCACAGCCACAGCAAGGTATTCAGGTATGTATTGTATCCTTGTCTATACCCAATAATAATTGTTTTAGTTTGATTTTCTATGTAATTTACTAAGTTCAATTTCGGGCGAGATATTTGAATTGTGTAATTTATTACCTCTGAATCCTTGGGACAAGTTGATGATGGTGAACCTGTCCTTTGATTTCTCTTTAGTGCGAAAGTCAGCTGCATTAAAAGGATAACTCAACTACTATATTACCTTCTCAAGCTTCCATTTCATGATTGGAATGGTGGCATTTAGTCCAAAGTTATGAGAAGAGCGCCTTGTAAAGAACATAAGTTTAATGTTCTGTTTTGTTGATTGGAGAGTGATTATGAAAAAGTAAATTCAATGTTTGTTTCCTATAACAAAGCTAACAAGGCTTTGTTCCATTAGTTACTCTCTTTCACTTCTCTTCAATTTCCTCCAAGAAATTTTTGATATGCTCCACTACTTGAGTATTATTGGATAGTTCTTGTCTCATTAACAAGAATCCTTGATGGGATTTAATCATTTTATCAATGAAGATTAATATCCGGCTCGTACAGAACTAAGAATAAGTTGTTTTCATCAAATGTGAAGTATTTTCTGTCTTATTCTTCTGTTGTGATAAATGAGGACATAAACATTGTTATTGCAGATAGTATCTTGTGCAAAGTGTCGCTACCAATATGAACTTATTTCAGGAAACATAATCAGTATTCAATCAGAAGAAATCAGGTTGGTTAGTCATATCATTCACTCTATGATTTTCTTTCATCTCAACTATTGATCAAAAAACCCAAACTATGTAAGATTAGTTAGCATGGCTAGTATTGTTTTTTTTTTAATGTATTTCCTTTTAATCAAGATGATATGTTACATTGTTACGTAATAACTCACTTTTGATTTTGCACTATCCTATGAACCATGTTGCTGACATGGGAAACATCATACCTAATTTGTTCAAAGTGTTTGGCCTCTTTTTCCCATATTTTTAGTATAACCTATGTGTGTCCTTTTGTTAATTTAGTAATATGTATGTGTACGTTGTTGATCATGGAGTATTCACTTTTTCTAAGGATCTCCTCCTGCCGAACGCAGCATGGACATTACAGCATGGGAAAAGGGGTTAAGATTCCTGAGACTGATGAAGCAAAGCATTCCTTCTGCTGTCCACTCTATTGTGGTATATACACAATACTTATCTTTGAAATCTCATTTCTGTGGTCGTTTTCTGATCATGTAATCATGCAGGAGTTTTAATTGGGGATCTATAACTTGGCAATAAGTTGGTTAGTTATGAGAAACCGGTAAAACATTGAATACCTATTGGTGAATAAGCCTTTCCTGATACCTTTTGAGCTCTATAAATATATGCCTTCTTCATAGTAGTAGAGTTTTTTCTGCATAAAAAAGTGACCATTTTGAAAAATTATATGCCGATATTGAGTCCTCCTGCTCAATATTAAAAATACTTATGCTATGATATTACTCCACACAGGACCTCATTTATACTAGTTAAAGGTTTCATTCCTAGCTTTAAGTAATTTCAACATTTCTTTTTGTGTCAGCAAGTTTTCATTTTCTCTCTTTTATATGATTCCTAGTCCCCTACCTTCACTTATCCTTTCAATTCGGTTTTAGCTCCACGAATAAATATATGTTTGTTTATGTTATTATTTTATCAATTTGAAAATGGGCTCTGGTTCTGAGATATGAGAAACTCAAACTAGTGTTTCATAGCTTGTTGCTGAAATAGCCTCATGTCAATTCCTGATTTCCTTACAATGTCTCTCACTCATAACACCTATACATTTTTTTCTTCCCCTGCCTTTTAGGTGGAGACCCCTTCAGGAATGGCTCGTACTCACAGATTTGCAACTGAGACAGTTGATCTACCAGCACAAGAAGGCGAAAGGGTTACTGTTGCTGTGGCAGCTCCATCAAATGTATATAAAAATCTAGGCCCCTTTAAATTAAGTTCAAGGGCACCAAATTTCTATCCTGGTGAGGCTATGTGCATAACAAACCACAAAGATGGACGGGAATCACGTCTTGTACGAGCCCCTAGGAAAGATGAAAATTCATCATTACTTAAACCTTCCATCCTCTTTCCACTTCTTGCTTTGTTTGCCACCGGCGATGCTGCCTCTGGATTTATTGACCCCAGTCTGCCTCAATTCCTATCAGTTGTTGCAGTTTCATCTCTTGCTGTTGGCTCTGCTTTGAATTCCTTTGTTATCCCCCAGCTTAATCAGGTACTGTAGTTAACACATGACATCAGTTCTTTTCCTATTGATAGATGCTAATTCATCTTCTCTGCGTCTAACTTGTTTTACTTCTCAAGAAGCAATCTTCTGTTGACAATGCCTTATAATTTTATTTTTCTCTAAAAAATTAACTTTCAAGATTCTTTCATCGCTTTCAGTGATTAAAAAACCTCCTGTTCCAAATAGAAGGGTTTGTGCTTTCTTTCTTCACTGCACATCCTTGAATACAGACATTTAAAAGAAATAAAGTGATTCTTATAATTCCTCTCCAAAAAAGACATAATAAAATTCATATACATTTATTTATGATTACAGCTGCCGCAAAGATCAGTGGAAGTAGTTGCTATCAAACAACGTCTTTTATCTCAATATGACGTGCTTCAGTCTCGCATCAATGACCTAAAAGAAGCTGCTGAAAAAGAGGTTTGCATTTTGCTTCAGTCTTGTACCTTTATTTACTTGTTTTTGCCGAAGGGGGCGGTTATATTTCCTGGGCAACATTTTAGCAGTTTATCTATCCTAATTTTCAACCTCTTATATTTCACAAACAAGTGTATATTCTTTTGGATAACTTCACTTCACTAGCTCATTAAGGGAGAAGTACTTCATCTCGGACGTGCATTCTTGCTAATAAAACCCCTCTGGCTGAGTTGAGTTCCTTTTTCATACAGCAATATTACATTGTTAAACAAAAAGCTTTTAACATGGCCCTTTATATGACAATTAACATACACTAATAATTGTTAATATGCATACATGATCCAATCTAAACCACTCTGCATTTTTACATAAGTTTTGCTCCACATGCCTTCCTTACCTAGAAGAAAAGAAGAAAAAACACAATGTCATATCGGGGTCTAATTTGTATGAAATCTCATGCATAATAATGCTGCTGTTAGTGCTCTAGATTAAAAGTAGCCTGATTGAAATGAATGCAAAATATGTTCACAATTGAAATGATTGAAAAAATGACCTAGTTGATAGTTGCTGATAGAAAAATTGTTAAATGTCACTATCATCCTCTGGAAATTATTTTAACAATTTATGTTCTATATCTTATTTCCATGATGAGAGTAAGATTGTGTGAAAATATTTTTGAAGATAATAGTTTCTTTCCTCTTCGTCTGTTGAAACGTACCTTTTGTTTGAGTTATATAATTTGATGATTTTTTTTTGTAGGTTTGGATGTTAGCCCGGATGTGCCAACTTGAAAATAAAATTTCTGCTGTTGGAGAACCTTCTTATCGGTGAATTGCAATAGCATCATACATATATATTTCTAGTATATCTGATGAAATAATAACTTTCTCCAATAACGATCTATGTCCTCAAGTTTCGCTAATTCTCTGGCTTCTCTTACTTTGATCTTGTCTGAAGTTACCATTATCAATTTATATCTAGGACTCGGATAAGTAAAGTCAAAAGGGTCCGAGAGAGCTTGCAGAACTCCCTTCGGGGACAAATTGAATTGATTGCTAGCTTTGCTAGGGTATGTTTTCTTTAAAAGTATGAATAGGAAACCTTCTCTCCATCTTAGAAATACAGAAAACAAAAAAAATAGTTCTCCTGTTTGCTTTTGTATATTTAAATAAAAAATCAATGAGTGTTGATAGTGTTCTTTGGTCAGATTTCCTCAATGATTGAAATTGAAGTGGAGATGGAAACTGATGTTCTTGCTGCAGAAACTACTAGTGATGTGGTAAACACTTGATCAATATTTCCTCTGCATTGTGAAATCTTGAAATAGAAGTTTAATTACTTAGCTGGGAATGTCCTTGTTTTACAGGATGGTTTCACAGAACAGATAGAGCAAATCATGGAGCTTGAAAATTTAGAGGAGGTACATTCTCCTAAAATGCGTCTATTAACTGGCATTGTAGTCATGAACATGGCCAATTTCTTTCACCAAATCATGCAAAATAATTCCTCCCAAAATTATATTAGATTTCTTAGACTACGGAGCAAAAAGCCAACAATAAAACCATTTATATTCTTGGTTTTTCTTTTGATCTGGGATTCTGAAACTTAGAAATTAAGTAATTTTCACCATCTGTGATAGATGGATAATCTTCCCTTTAGTGTGGTTTTAAATTGACAGTCTAACCCCGCTTTGTCTTTAAGTAGACATATCCTCTCCATTTTCCCTCTGCACTGTTAATGTCACACTACCATGTTTATATTTCAAAAACCAAAGAAATGGAGTCAATGGAATGGATCGATAATCATTCCCTTTATTTATCTGGTCTTTTAATATGATCGTAACAATTTAATCCATATAACGAACACAGCCCTGTTATGCAGAGATGGAAAATGCAAGCAGAAGCAAATGATGAGGCCGAAAGACTTCTTAGCTCCCAGCCCCTGCCCTTAGATGATGTTTAAAGATTTACGGATATATCTGGTTCGTACAGCAACATCATTAGTTGAAGCCTCACTTCCCTGTTCAATGATCTGTTCTTGACTGAGCAAAAAGAGCACAGCTTCCTGTCACATGTATCTTTTTAGCAGGCAAATTTTGAAATTTTGTTATATCATCATAAATATAATATTCATCATGTCTCCAGAAGCACTGCCTTGTATATGATCATAAATATGACACCATGTTGTAAATCCGCTGTTAATCATCTTAGTACTGTTTTTGTTAAGTAATTACTATTGTTAAGTTATACTATATATTTATATTATGTGAATTAAACATTAATCAATTAATCGGAATCTATCTATTTATAGACTTCGGATTAATATATTTCTATTATCATAAACACTAATTAGAGAATTTTAACAATCTAAAAGTGACGTACATTACATTAATTAAATAGTACTGTTAAACATAAACAATGTTGAAAGCTAAAAAATAACAATTATTTTAAATTATTTTTTTCTTTTTAAATGTGATAAATATTGTGGTACAGAAAAGTGATTTTTTTGTGTGTACATAACTTGAGTTTAGGTAGGATTCCACAAATTGTTTACTAGTACTTTTTTGGATTAACCACCGACAGCCGTCGCCAGCATGTTGGTCGGTTTTTCATGCAATGATTGTTAAATTTATTAAGATGATTCCATGTTTTATTAGTCCTCACTGATTTCCTTTTGATATTGTTAATTTGGTTATAATTGTTTTTTGTTTCGTTTTATTCTCAACAAAGGAGAGAAGAGATTGAACGAAAAAACAGCACTCCATATTCCATGCTGTCTTATGATTTGGAGGTACTACTAATGAAAGGAATTTATTATAGAGAAGGTCCTACAACGCCACAACCACAAAGTTGGAAGTTTGAATGTCTAATATGCGTTGGTATCTTGAGGTTGGCTGAAAAGAAACAGATGGCTTATGATTATAAAGTGCACTCCAGTAAGATAAAGGCATATGCTAGCTTATATGCCAAACAAAAAATAACATACCTCAGCGCTACATACATTTAAATGAGAATCAACTATTTTTTATCCATTAAAATTAAATACCATCAAACTTTTTAATATGTTTTTTTCTTTTAAAAAAAATACTAACAAAAAAGTATATTTAGAATTTAAAATGCTAAAAAAAATTTGAAATTATTATTATTATTTTTTATCTCATTCATTTCCCAATTTTTACTTTTAACTTTCTGCTCTTTATTTTCTTCTTTTAATTCAAATTTCAAATTTTCTCCACATTTATTTTTCTCACACTTTCTCATTTTAATTTTAATTTTAATTTTTTTTCTCTATTTTCATTTTTCTATTTTATTTTTTAAATATTAATAATAAAATTTGAATCTCTTTTTAATTTAATGAAAAAGAATACAGAAAAATGTAGAATTTTTAGAACACAATATGTATCTAAAACAAAAACGTAATTATTTTATAATTATTATATGTAAAAACTATTAATAATTTGTATGATTATTATTTATTTTATAATTAAATAACTCATTTAAAATTGACATGTGTATCTAAATATATTTTATACGATATTAAATTATATAACACTCAATAAATGCACACAATTAATTTTCTATTTCACAGGTAATTATCAGGACAATATCTATTTTATTTTAATCAATAATTATCTTTGTTTGAGAGACATTTTTTTTCTTTCTCCATGTCACGAGTCTCTTTTTTTATATGATTATTTAAAACAATTGAGTTTATATGATTATTGTTCATTTTACAATTAAGCAACATATTATAAATTGACGTGTATATCTAAAAACATTGACGTGTATATCTAAAAATATTTTATATTGTATCAAATTGAATATCACTCAATATTGGTGCACACCACTAACTTTTCATTTCACGACTGAACAATATCTATTTATTTTAACCAACAATATTTAATTGAGAGATGAATTCTTTATTTTCAAATGTGAAAATAATTTCTTCAAATTCTTTTTTTCATTTCAAATTTACATGTGTATCTAAATATATTTTATACCGTATTAAATAAATTTAACCGTGTCGACGCACGGGTATCTTGGTAGTTATTTTATAAAATCAAATAAAATGGAGGAGGGCTTTGTCGCATTCCTCAGTCCATTTGAAAGCTGCCTCCTTGCGGTGAAGTTTGAAAAAGGGGAGGACGTGTTGGGCAAATTTGGCCACGAAGCTGGATAGCAGTGCGAGCATCCCGTTTAGAGATTGGATGGACTTCTTTGAGTTCGGTGTGGAAAATTCGGAGAAGGCTCTGCACTTCTCGGGGTTAGCTTCAATTCCTCGTTCGATTATATAGAAGCTGAGGAACTTGCCCGCTCGTACTCCGAATGTGCACTTCTTCGGATTAAAGCGCGTCATGTACTTCCTGGCCTGCTCGAAGACTTTCCTCGGGTGGATCGTGTGATCGGATTCCTCGTGGAATTTCACGATCATGTCGTCCATATAGACTTCAAGCATATCCCCGATTTCTCCTTGAAAGACCTTATTCATCATTCTTTGGTAGGTATCGCCAGCGTTTTTCAAGCCGGAGGGCATTACGTTATAGTAATAGTTGTCTGATTTAGTCATGAAAGTTGTGTACCTTTTGTCGCTTTTTGCCATGGATATTTGGTTATAGCCCGAACATGCGTCCATGAAAAAAAATTTTTAATCAGCATAATTATTAACTAATTTATCTATATTGGGGTGGGGATATGCGTCTTTAGACAAACCCTATTAAGATCGGTATATTCAATTCACATTCACTATTTTCCATTATTTTTCTTCACGAGTACAACATTAGACAACCAAATAATGTACTTGGCTTGCGAGATAAAATTACCCCTATAAGGTCTTTTACAGCCTGTTCGACAATCTCCGTTTTCTCCGGAGGCTGCCTTCGTCTACGTTGAGCTACAACCATAGCGGCGGGATCGATAGCGAAATAGTGACATGCCACGTCAGGGTCTAGCCCAAGCATCTTTGTGGCGCTCCACGCGAACAGATCTGCATTCTTCCAGAGGTAGACTATTAGATTTTTTCCCACAAGGTCGGGGAGTCCGGTCCCAATCTTCACTCCCCACTCGGGGTCATCGTCGAGCAGGACAAGTTCGAACTCTCCATCCGGAATTGGGCGCATCTGATGGAAAGTTTCGCTGCTACTGGTAGATGTGGAGGGGTTGCTTGAAGATGGTTGGATCTCCTTCCCCTTCACTTTCTGAATCCTCTGGTCGTCTTCGGAGAAACGAATGTTAAGGTCGATAAAGTCAATGCAGGGCAACAACTTTGTCTCTTCAGTGCTGTTGGACAGAGATGACCTGCTAGGACTCTTTGGCCTGGCGACGATGGTGTTCAACCCTTTGGAGTCTGCCTCGAAACATTTCCTCGTCGCTTCAATATCGCCGTGCAAAGTTGCCACAAGACCCTTTGAAGTGTAATACTTCATCTTCAGGTGTACAGTTGAAGGCACGACTACCAATTCGGCTAGAGTTGGTTGCCCGAAGATGCATTGGTATAGTGACGGGCAGTCGATGACCAGGAACTAAACCTTGATAAACCTGGCCGTTTTAGCGGACCCAAAAGTCATGATAAGCTCTATGTAACCTCAGGGCTTCTTCACCGACCCATTGAAACCCTGCAGATCAAAGCCCATGTAGGGCGTCAGGTGTGATTCGTCCAGCTGGAGAGTGGAGAACAGTTGGGAATACATGATATCAACTGAGATGCTCTAATCAATAAGGATTCTCCAGACGTCAAAATTGGCCACTTAGGCTCTCACGAGTAGAGGGATGTTGGTGTTGGGGGCTCCGCCGAGGAGTTCCTCGCGGTAGAAGCAGATGGGAACAAACTTTCCTCGAATAGGTACGTCCTCAATTGTTGGAGTTTGAGGGCAAAAGAATCATCCATTTCTGGGTTAGGAGTGGTCGTCAAACCAGCAGGGGTGCATCCACAGACGACTTACGAAGCTTAAGCAGGGATTTCAAAGTCTCTGTTGGGTTTGACTGCTTCATCACCAGAATTTCCTCCGAAGTAAGCGTCCTTTCGATAACAGGGCCACCTTCAGCAGAACCCATAGGAGTCGGAGTGCCCTTGGCAGCAATTGGGATAATCAAAGGGTTTTCCTTGTCGCTGGTAGTTGCACCTTCCTTACTAGCCTCATTGTTGGTGTTGTCAATAGGGGGTGTCTTCGCTCCGGGGTTTTCTTCTATTGGTGCCCCTTGGAATTCGACAACTTTTTGAGGACTAAAAAGGGGCGCGTCTCAAGCGGATTTCCAGTGGTAGCTGTGGCATTATCAGCATTTGCAGTAATAGTGGAATCAATCGCGATATCCTGCAGAAGGAAACGTAAGTAAGAAAACACCAAGGTAATACATGGACTAAAAGAACAAAGACAATAAATACCTCAGCAGTATACCCTAGAGGAGGGATTTCAGTGGCGGCAGTTTGGAAAACCTCGGCCAGATTATCAGGAACAACAGGTTTCACGGTCGAAGTGACCGCTTTGGAGGGTGTCTTTTTGGTAGGAACTCTTTTCTTCTTGGCCATAGGGGTAGCAGGAGGGGAGTTTGATGTTTCAGAAGGAAAGAATCGAGATGTTGTGCTTTCATTCGACGCACCACCTTCAGGAGTCGACGCCTTTTCAAGAACCTAGCAAACAACAGGGTAAGTTGACAATAGAAGACAGGTGCAAAGATTTCTGAATGGACCATATTTAATGGAAAGGTTTATGGACGGAACAAATTTAATATAATTATTTCCGAATGAACCAAGATAAATGGAAAGATTTCTGGACGAACCAGATAATGGAATGCTTTTTGGATGGACTAAATAGAAGTGAAAGGGTTCCGGATGGACCAATGATATTTGAAATGTTTTGGATAGACCAAAGGTATTTGAAATGTTTCTAGACAAGGCCAGATATAATCAAAGGGTTCTAGATGCCAGACGTAATAAAGAAAAATTTCAAGATGAACCATATTTAATGG